GCCTAAACCTATGAAGCCCAACTTGCGCCCGGGTCCTAAACTAAGCTTGAACCCGCCAACCTAGCCCAACCTAACTCATTGTCTAGCCCGACCTAACTAAAATAAAAACATCCACCCTAACTAAGACTAAAACAAAACCTAACCTAAAATCCTTTCTTCCTTCTCCTCGCTAAACCCTTTCTCTTCTCTTCTCACTTTCATTTGAGTTCTTTAATATCAAACCCAAAAAAAAAAAAAACCCATAATCACTTTTAATAAGCTTTCCTCCCTTAATGAACCGAAACCCAACTTTAAAATATTGAACCCTTTTCATCCTTCATTTTGTATTCTTTCAATCAACTCAACAAAAAAAAAAAAAGGAGGGCGGTGATGGGGCATTCATATGTATTGCAAGATGATAGTCATGAAATCACTATCATTCCTTCTTCTTGGGCAAATTAGTAGTAAAATCGAGGTGATTAGAAGCAAAAATCATGAAAGAGATAGAGTATTTACCTAGATGATTGATTAATGAAGCTACATTTAGGGTAATTGGTTCACGGTGAGCTAATTTAGGATGACCTTTACGGGTAAGCTGCCAAAATAGCAAGGTCTTCGTCTTTTAGTCTTTCGAGTAAGCCGTCTAGATAATAAGGTCATCGTATCTTACTTTTTTATGACAAGTCATACAATCGGACCATTCTTTTTACCACTCAATTTACTTTTTTCCTTATAAGCTCAATAAGCAAACTCAATTTGAAATTCACATTCAGCCAAGCATCCACACCATAAGCCTTGCACAAAAGAGGACAATTATCATAACCTAACTTTTGGGTTATATTTTTCCTTTCAAATTTATTCCTCTTAGGTTTTATCTTATTTTTATTTTATTTAGTTCTAGTATTTATTACAAAAAAGAAAAAAATGAATCAAAATATATATACATACATACATACATACACAAAAAAATACAAAAATAACATGACATGATTAATTAGGGACACGATTGAATAAAATCAAGACTAAAATTGAAACAATTAAGGATATAATTGGAACAATTGAGCACTTTAGAACTAAAATTAAAAGATACAAAGGTCCAATTAAAAAAATTGAAAGAACCAAGGACCAAAATTATATGCCTAAAGGGTATAATAGAGAACAATTGAAATACATGAGAACTAAATTGAAGTTGATGAGTGATCGATAAGATCAAGAAATGAACAAATGACATGTCGTTCACTTCAACCCAAAATCATTTCCACTGTAGTATTTATTGTCTTGTCCTTAGGTGAACAAATTCATTTCTTGCTAAAATTCCTAGATGTCATTCATACCGATCAAGAATCGTGTGTTATGGTTGTACCGTCCGCACCACCTATACCCACATAAAAAACTAAACATTGCACACACATTTCATTTTGGCTCTAATTTTTGTTTTGTTTACAAATAGTGGAAAATCCCACTATCATTTTTTATTTTAGGAAAGAAGGGTTTCGATCATTTTGGGAACAATCTTAGGGTAGGAATTCGAGTGGAGTTTGGCTACAAATTAAGGTGAATTGGAGGAATTGGGAGAGGTAGAAAAAGAGAGGATTCTATTTTTAGTATTGATTTTTCTAGGTTTTTTTTAATAAGAATAACTTGGGTTTCGGGTAAAAGAATACCAACTTTTATGGGTTTACGGATCCATTCAATCAATAATCGTCCCGAGTATTATTCCAAATCGTTTAGGGGTCACAAGATTATCAACAAACCCAGTCTCTACCCTCATCCTCACGCACCTAAAAATAGAGAAAGAACAAAAAACACTAGCCATTCAAATTTTATTCTTTCAATCTTCTATTTTCATTTAAGTTCATTAGGTATGTCCTTCATCTAGTTCATTTTAAATTGTTCAACTTAATGTTGATTTTATTTTCTTGTTTGTTCAAAATGAAAATGACTTTGTCATTGCCATTGGGCTTGAATTCATCCCTCCCTCCTTTTTTTTTTCGTTTTGTTGATTCATTATCAATGGAATATGAAAGAATGGGTGTGACGTTTGGGTTGTTAGGATGATGATGATGTAGTGACACATACAATGTGTTTGGGTGATGAAGGAGAAGAAGAAAAAGAAAGAAAAAGAAAAAAGTGACCGGATAAGGAGAGAGAAAAGGAGAAAGAAAAGAAAGGAAAAAAAAAAAAGACTTTCGGGTTAAAAGGAAAAATAAAGAAAAAGAGGTTAGCTAGGCTTAACCTAGCCCATGTGAAAAAGGATGGGCTAGGTTTTGGCTTAGTCTATGTGAGGCCGGGCCCAGGTTAGGCTTACCCAACCTAGGCTCGAGTGGAGAAGAAACGCCGGCATCTCCGAGCGAGCCAACCTAGTAGGCCGACCCAATGGGTCGAAGGCCCGCTAGGCACAAAAGGTCCAATAACCCTAATTTTAACCTTTTTTAGGAAAATCAATTCTGAAATTTTAATACATGCATTTTACTTTTATGTCTATTTTAGATTTTTTTTTTAATTTTTGATTTTTTAAGCCTATTTATTTATTTACTCAATTTTTTTTAATTTTATTTTGATAATTAGACTAGGTGATTAATAAGTGAAGGAGTCATCGAGTCTCCTAATTTTAAGGTACTAATTACGACTCCTCACCAACTAAAAAATAAAAAAATAATAATGATAAAAAAAAAAGAGACATAAAAAAAGGGGGAGGAAAAGAACAAAAAAGAATGATAAAAAGAATAAAAGAAAAAAATATAAAAAAAATGATAGGAGAAAATTAGCAAAGTCTCATATATAATAAGGATCGATGATGTTAACTCAAATCAATTATATTTTAGTAATTAGTTCATTCTTCGATATACTAATTATGTTGAGACTTAAACTAGATCAATGTGAAATTGACGAGACTTCAAACTATGGGGTCCGACAATCGATTCAATATGATACCATAAACAAAAAAAAATCAATTAGCTCAAGAAATAAAACTTGAAATTTTGACTTAGGATTAATTTTTGTAAAAATAAAAATTTTTAGGACTAAACCGGACATGGTACTTTTCCTAAGAAATGGTATTTTGGGTGATTGATATCTTTTTAAACGCATAACCAAGTCCTTATCTTAGAATATATGAATGAGTGTCAAATTTTAGATTTCTAATTCCCTTTAATACTAGGTGATCACTCTAAAATTAATAATAATTCATATCCCTAAACTAACAAATTTTCAACAAGAATGATCATAATTTTTTCGAGAGTCCTGTGAAAGTCAAGTAGCGACATTTTTTAAAAAAATTTTGATTTTTGGTTTAACAAATTTATATAAAAAAAAAATTCTCAAACCTAAAAACCAAAATTATTTTGGTTCGAGTTTTTTTAATATAAAAAAAAACACACCAAAATTGATATTTCGAGTGCAATTTGGTTTGGTTATTTGGTTTTCATCGAATAATGAACATCCTTGGGTGCAAAGGTGTGTGCGGTGTGATTCTTGGCTAGTATAATTGTCAATCAAGAATCGCGGAGACACAATTAGAGCCTACACAATTGGAGCCTTTGTCTTCAAGAAAGATGATGAACAGATTTGAGAATTGGTTTTAGGTTACAACGAACGACGGTGTCGTTCATTCAATTTTAATCCTATCGTTTGCTCTCCAACTTCAAATTGCTCCTAGGGTGTTTCAATTTTGTGCAATTACAATTCTGATTTTCATTTCAATTGTACACCTATTGACTTTCAATTTCGAGTCCCGATTTCATTCAATTGCACTTCTATTTTATTCACTTTCATCGCTAACTTTCAATTTATTATCCGATTATTTTCAATTTCAATCCTTATTCTCTTCAATTAAATCCCTAATTAATCATTTCATGCAAGATTTTTTATGGTTGTTCTGTGTTTATTTTTATTTTATTTTTTTTATAAATTGATTATGTAATTAAATTTTTTATTTTCCTTATTTCTTCCTTTTTTTCTTACAAAAATAAAACATAAAACTTGTTAAATTGACTAAATTAAATATGAAAAATATAAATATAAATAAAAGGAATAAAATCAACTAAAAAATAAATATAAGTCAAATTTTGGGTTATGACATCCATGATAAAAAAAAAAATTTTAAATGGTTGTAGGGAAAAAAAAACAAAAATAAAAATATCAGAGCCAAGCCAACTCACTTAGGCTTGCACACTAGGCTAGCCCCACTTGGGCCTACTTGTCTAGGCTTGCGAGGCTGACCATGGGAAATAAAAAAATCCCTCCAACTTCAAATTTAGAATTTAGTCACTATTTATGCTAACAAAATTGCCACCTTAGACCCATCAAATTCTAGGTTGTTGTTTAAGTATGTTTATTTTGTGTAATTTAGTTTTAGAAAATATTTTTTATTTTAAAAATAACATCTAAAAACATTTTGTTTTACAAAAAAATATGCTTCTTTTCAATTGTTTACTTGTATTAATGAAAACTATTTAAAAATAATTGTTTGTTGCTTTAGTGTATGAAAAATAATTATTAAAATAGAAAAGACATGAATTAATCAATGGCCGAACTTATAATTTGATAACAAAAGAAACCATAGAACACATTGATAAGTACTTCTATTTTACTATCATATATATAGAAGATGGAGATATAGATATTATTTTATGTACTAATAATATATAAGAGTATTTTGGCTCAAATTCCGCATATTAGAACTAAGTTCTTCTTTAGCCGAAATCTTAAGTAAACCATAAATATCGAATTGATCCATTGACAAGAAATATTTTCTTACACTCTCTCATAAGAATATGAATAAGTTAATATGGAAAGTAAACTCACTTGCCATCCAAACTAAACTTGTAAATATATTCTAATTGAAATATCAATTAACACATGAAGGACAATTCTTCACCATATAAATCATTATTCATATGTAAAATCAAATCTCAAAAATTAAAAGAAAAAAACGTATGTAAAATCCAAAAGGTACTCTATTGCAAATAGTAATGGAACTCAAGAATTGAGCCATGAAGGTGTACCTATGTGTAAAATTTTTATTTTCTCATCCACATTCTCACCTCCAAAATGACAGCAATTACAAACAAGACAGCAAGAACAACCCCATAACCCACATTCCATCCCTGTCCATTTTCACCTAAATGGATTCCGTAGAACACATTTGATATTGCAAATATCATCAAAATCCATCCCACACTGTAATGGTACCAGTTCCAATACTTTCTCACTTTTGACGACTTATCTGGTCGAGCCAAAAATGCCATCACCTATACACAAGAATACAGGTCACGATCAACGAGGCAAAAGAGAAACTAAAGATAAAAATACAGATCAGTTGATATCACCTGTAAAAAAACAGAGGAATTAATTACAATTTACAAACATTTAATTTTTATTTATTTTATTAATCAAATTTTTAAATCTCTTTTTTTCCTTGTTTACAACCAACTCACTTTTGTAATGCTTGCAGCTTCCTTAGAATCATGCGTGTTACAGCTTACATATGTGATATAGTGAGGCAATTTTTTTTTTTTAATTTGAAAAATGAAAAATTAAGTAGATCATTCCCTAATATATACACACACATACATACATATGCATACATACATACATGTATATATGTATGTATACATACATATATACATGTATGTATGTATGCATATGTATGTATGTGTGTGTGTATATATATATACTGAAATTTTGCTGACCTGAAGGCATCCAAGAACAAGAATGAAGACCCCAAGACTTTTGTGAGTAGACACATCAGCACCAAGACGATTTTCGAGGACAAGTCCACAGATTACACCAGCTATGCCTGTCAAAAAGCCCAATGATTGAATACAAGTGTGGACATAGAACCAAATAGGATCCCATTCCCTGAAATGCCGAGCAACTATTGCTCCAATTATCATCAGAATACCCCAACCAAGCATGGCCAAGGCTCCATGAGTCTTCCTTAATTTACTCTGTGGGCTTGCGTTGCTTGCTTGACCTGTCAATTGTATATAATTATTAATAGTAATATTTACCAACAATTCAAACATTTAATAATCAATTCTTGAAATTGTTATATACATACACACATAAAGAACAAAATAATATTAATAGAACATACCTCAAGATTCATGACAAACTTCTTTTTACATGCAGATTTTCTTTAATTTGTTTCCAGAAGAAGGAATCATTCGTTAGCAAGTTATTGAAAATCATGTTTGCTATGGATGTATGACATGAAAAATAAGAGAATATTGATTTATAATATTATTCATTTTATAATTTCCAAAAATTCACTTACAGAACTATAATTTTACGTTAATTTTACTCGTGGCCATTAACATTTTTCAGTTAAGATTTTATAAAACATTTTTTTTATAGATTATTTCTGTGACTAAATCAACTTAAAAGAAAATTATAAATTAATCCTTCTATTTTCAAGAAACAAATTCATTAGTTTTTTGTAGTCCAAAAACTAATAATTTAGACTATTGATCAATATTGATCACACTTAATTTAATATTCATTTATTTTTAAAAAATATTATCTTTTTTCATCTATTTTTTAATTCAATTTTTCTATTTCTTAAAATAAAAATCAAAATGAATTAAAAAAAAAAAAAGAAGGATTAGCGTTACAAAAAAATTTAAAATATATGTACTGAATAATTAATTTTTAAAATAAAAAGACTAATTAATTTGTTTTTGTCTAAACTAGAGGGACTAATTTATAATTTACTCGTCAGCTTAATTATGGTGACTTCAAAGGCACGTTATGGCGTTGTTACAAAAGGAAAAAGTCACCTTATCGCATTTTAGAGTTAAATTAAAATATACTCAGTATTCTGACCTGATTTAATAAATAAAAAAATATAACATGCTCTTGACATATGGAGGGCACCACAAATCATGTTTTCTTGACACATGAACTAGCGCACATTGGACCATATATATTAGTAATTAATATTTTACAGATAAACAAAAAACAAAATGATATGGCCTGCCTGTTCTTCTTACCTGTAACATAATTCAAGGTTGTGGAGACCATGTCAGCGTGCTGGGTCAAGGCGAAGCTTGGAGAAGACGGCAACAAACCGGTCTGCCCGAGAGCATATAGTATCCGCGGCGACGGCTGGTCGATTTTCAACTGGAAGGCTAAATACAGACGTAAAGATTGACTTGTGATCATGGATGTATTAACGTCTAGGTTTCCTTGGTCAGGTACCACATCCTTTGTAGTTTGTCCTCCTAAAAAATACTTTTTCACTCCTGAAGAACCGTCACTGCCCGACATCCAACCCACAACAGCACTAGATCCTATCATCAAACCATTGCTTGAAAACCCTATAGCTATGTAACTATTTGCATCTGGTGCTGACAGAACAAAGCTCCATAAATTTGATGAACTCTGCGCGTACTGCACATAACAAGAGTGGTGTCGCCAAGAAATCAAATTATATAAATTGAACATATATTTGAGAGCATGAAATCTAAAAAGTTAACTTACTCGAAGAATGAAATCGTGAGCCTTCCAAGCATTAACACATAGGAGAGATGCTGAGTCAAAAGGGAGGCCATTGATGTTTAGATTTGAGTTGCAGGAATCTGTTTGAGAGTTCACAAAGATTGATAAGCCACATATGGTGAAGAAGATGATGGAGATAAAGGGAGATGCCATCATCTCTCTGTTGTTGGTTTAATGATGATCTGGTCCTCAAGGGGTAGTGGAATTGTAGTAGGTATATATGATGATATACAAATAAACTACAAGGAAGAGCAGTTGAAATGGTCCCTTGAACTTTGTATTTTTAATGCGCAAGTAGGTTGTAATGGAACATTGTTAATGTCAATGAACATGGACATCGACGATATTTAAGAAGAAATATATATATATATATATTGATTTATAGGTGGGGAATTGATTGCAAAAGTTCCCATCTAAAATCTGGATCATTTCTTGTGACTAAGATTCTTCAAGACGGGATTTACGATTGTGACAAGGAAAATCCATATTTTATAAGCAGGGAATTCGGCCGAAGAAGATCCATACAAAACCAAAAGGTAATCCGGCCCAACGGTAATAGTGGTTTTGTCTGTCTTTTTCTCTGGACTCCTTTCTAAATTTAAGGGCCGGGTTTGTTTGGAGAAAAATATTTTCTTAATTTGTTTAGGTTTGTTTTGCGTTCTTCTAAAATATTTTATAAAAAAAAATCAGTTAATGTTGAATATTTTACAATTAATCTTTAAACTTAGTTTATTTATTGAAAATTATTTTAAATTTTTATGATATTTGTAAAATAGTTTACAAACAATAATACATATGCTTATTCAATAATTTTAACACTGCTACTCTACAATCACCATCTCTACTTCGACCATATTATTACTTTACAATTAACTAACCTTAATATTATTTGACCAGAATTACCACTTTGATCATTTTCATCACAATTATTACCACTACTATTATTATTTTTACCTTCACCATTATCATTAATACTATTTTATTATCATCCTATTTTTCAAATCATTACTTACTAAACATTCTAAACATTGTAAAAAAAAATCATGTAAAATGTTTTACAAAAAGATATTTTACATTCATAAAATGCTTTATGCAAAAACAAATGCTTCACCGAGTCAAGTATTTTGCCCTCATGTTGCTTGAATCTATTTAAAAATTTTATTCAATTTTTTTTATCAGATCCAACTAGAGTTCTAAATAGCTATAATTAATCTTGAAAATATGTTTTATTGGAAAAGTCTGAAAGATTATGATCATAAAGATTAAAAGATTTCTAATTGATTAGTTTTTTATGCATTTTTCTAGCAATAAAATAGAATTAAGTTTATCATATCCCTTAAGAAAATAAAAAAGTTTAAACATGCACACTTGCTTGAAACAAATGGCAAATAAGAAATCAACCTTCAACATTCTCTAGAGTTTTTACAGATGTATTTGGGAATACGATATAGAGAGTATGTGTGTGTGTTTTTTGTAAAAGTACTTTTTAATTGAGAAAAAATATTGAATAAATGATTTTTATTGTTTTTTTATATATATAGTTTCGATATATTCATATCAAAACCGTCCAAAAGCATCTGAAAAAACATCAATCTAAACTCATTTTGATAAGCTATTTCAAATGCAGTGCGGTAGTATAAACAAATATTCATTAAATCAATGGTTTTTGTTTTTTTTTAATTCAATCCAAGCTTATTTTGAGAAGCACTTTCAAATATAGGACAATCATGTTACCACCAAACATATATTAAATTAGTAATTTTTGGTCTTTTTTTTTTTTTTTTTTTTTTTTGGTTTTGACATCTTCATATCAAAATCACCTAAAAACATTTGAAAACATCAATTCAGTCCAAACTCATTTTGAAAAGCACTTTCGTCAATCATATTACGAAACATGCATTAAATTAGATTAGGTTAAAGTGTGTTTGCTTTAAACTTTTAATTTTTTAAGGAATGAGATAATTTTGATCTTTTTTTCTTAAAAATAAGCTTAATTTATTTTTCTAATTTCATTCATCATTTTAATTATTTTTTATTCATCATTTTAGGTGTGAAAGGCCATGTGTTCAAATTTGACTGGTTAAAGTTTGATCAACTAATGTTGTTAGGTTAAAGTAACAAACCTCTATGATAAAATTGGATAGAAGGGTTAAAATACTTCATAAATTTAAATAAAACGGATGAAGCCACGAGTTGATTTTTTATACTTCATGCATATTGGATGTTTAATGTAACATTATCAATTTACTAAGGCTTCTAATAAAAACACTTAAATAATATATTATTGAAAGTACAAGCATTAAAGTAAAAATCAAAGAATAAACATTCAAATTGAAAAGTTCACTAAGACTTAGGAATTGTGAGCATGCCAGATGTTAGTTCAATAAAAACAGTTGATTAAAAAAATAAAAACTTTTGCATACTCAAATAGCAAAAGTAAAACTACCAACACTTAAATAGAAGCATTTAAATTGGTTTCTTATCTATATCATACAAAAAATAAGACTAAATACATCATTTGCATCCTATATTTTCAACACTTCATCAAAAGAGTCCTTTTGCTATCAATTCAGATAATTGAACATGTATACTTTGTATTTCGATCAATTAAGTACAATCTGCCTAAATTGAAAAATGAACTGCTTAATAAAAAAGGTGGGATGGGTGATACTATTAACATAAATGAATGTAAGTTGATAACAATGAATGATATAGTGAAAAAGAGTACTCAAATGATTGATATAAAATTTTTTACTTCTGGAAAATTGTATTTGATTGGTTAAAATTCAAAATGCATGTGCTTATTTAATTGAATTAATAACAAATGAGTTTTTTTATAAATTGATGAAATCATAAATTGCAATTAATAGGTCTAGAGAAAAAAAAAAAAAAAACAATGACTTCTTACATCGTGATTATTTAAAAATAAATAAATAAATAAATAGATAAAGAAACTATAACTATGATTTCTTTCTCCATTCAAAATCCCAATTTAGCTTAGAGATTGCGGGCGACTTGTGTGTTTCACCTACTAAAAGCAATAAATCATTAAATGGAAAAGAGATAATGACATTTTGAGTGCTTATACCTGTATGTTGATTTTTATTTTTTTTTCTATTTGAATGTTTATAATATTTTTTTTCTTCTATTGAAAAGTCATTATTGTGATTATTTTTTATTTGAGTATTTCTATTATAATTCGTTTGAAATTTTTTGGCATATTCGCTAAGAGAACACACATAACTGAAAAGTGAGCTACTATATCAAAAACCTCATTTATATTAGAGACATAGATATCACCTTAGAATATTTTCATTTATTATTAGAATATTTTTCTTTGATTACATCTTTATATACATGGATATTAGCTCTATACTTTTAGAAGGTAGATCATATAAAGTATAGAATTATCAATGACCCTAATGTTTAGGGATTCTAATTCATTGTATATATATTTTTCCTTTGTAAGAAAATATCATATCGGTGAAGATTATTCACATTTTCATGATATCATAGCAAAGTTTATAACCTTTTTTTTTTCAATCATGGCAACTGATTTCGTAAGTGGTAAGAAGAATGATTTGATGTCCATTGTGAATATGTCAAATGTCACAATTGATACCAAGTCTTTATTCTACTTACATCCCTCATATCATCCTAGTTTAATATTTATTACATAACCTCCGATTGAGAATAGAGACAACTATTTCACTTGGAGAAATAACTTTCTCGAGCACTCTCTAATCCAAGAACAAAGCAAGATTCGTGGATGGATCGATAGATAAACTTGATGTCAATTTTAGAGATTTTCAATCTTAGATACAAAGTAGTACACTAGTAAAATCATGGCTAATTAATTCTATTTCTAAAGAATTGTAAATAGGTGTAACACATGCCAACACAACCAAGTGAGATATGGATGAAGGAAAAACATGCTACAAAGGAGCAAAATAAACAAAACCTTTTTTTTCCTCCGATCAACAACATAGGATCACCATTGAATCAAATACTTATAATAAGAAGTTTGGATCATTACCTCTCGAAGAGAAGTCACAAGGTTGCGAGATGGAATTGTCCAAATGTTGGATCTCTAGTAATAATCCATACGAGTTTTGGTGTGACACCCCCTCCCGGCTCACTAGCTAATTACCCAAAAAGGAGTGGTTGGGCGAGGAGCGTGTCACACCGACACGACCAATTGTCGACTTAACCCCAACACATATGTACTTATACATTAAGGACTTATCATATAATGAAACACGTACAAGACAATTTACATAATATTAACAAATATAGCGAAGAAATTATAAAATTTATTTGCAATACCATCGAATGTTTATCGATACCCCAACCCTAAAAATTACAATAAAAAATTTTTTTGATACACTTGTGTCACACGTGAGCCTTTTTTGAGGACCCAACAAGCATCCTTACTACTTTAACTCTTTCATGTCATAACATGAAAACAACAATGGTGTGAGCCGAAACTCAATAAGTTGGGTGATACACGTGATATACGATGAAGTTACGTTTGCCATTCTACCCATCCATTTTAATCCGGTATCCTAGGTATTAGCAAGACCGTACGTTCTATCTCTCGGTGATCGTGTTATCACCTACTCGCTCTATTACTCTCTCTCGGTGATCCCATTATCACCTACCGCTCACAATGAAATTATCCCTCGTTGTAACACACGATTAGCGATATTATCCTTCACTTAACGATGTTATAATAGAGCACACTCATGGTTTCATGCTTGTTATCCATTTCATTCAATTCGGTTACCAAAATGCATTATCTCATGACTCAATGATTTTTCTCAATTTCATACCACCCTTGAATGCACGTGATGCACATGGTATTATGTTTAACACATTCAACTAATTATACTATCAACATTTTCTTGTCAAACCATTCCCATGTCCCGATGCACACTCGAGACTTCACAGGTGTTTCATGTACCATTCAAAGTATTCAAAATGAGAATACGAATTTCATTCATTAGTATCATTCATTTCATAAATCTACTTCGTACTTACGAGTTTTTCCTTCTTGTGTACCTAGCAAGTCTAGGCTCGAATTTCTAGTGTATTACTTAGTTTACAAGACCGGTTAATCCTAACGATTTATATGTGACATACTTGAGCTAAACTCT